ACAAAACTGTCTGAGAAGTTTTTTTAGTACGAAATCGTATCTTTCTAACGCCATTTGGCGTAACCCGATCGCACTTATACAACGCGAGATACAGATTACTAAAGCCATCTATTGGAAAAATAATAGATTTCTTTTTACTACACCTTATATACAGGACTGAAGATGCTCTTTTACAATAAATTTTTTCATTTGTTTAAACAAATTTTTTACCCGATTTTCTAAAAAAAAATGACGTAGTACTATTGTACGAAAAAATTATATAACTTGCATGTATTATAAAACTTTTTTACTAAATATGAAATTTTAATAAAAATTGTAACTGCATGTGTATTTTATACATGGAAACTGTATGGAACAATCGATGTATAATACTTGATATTATCCACCTGTCGACTACCGTCACCACTCTTAAGATATTTCTTCAAGAAATTGAGTTTCTACAGATTTTTTTGAAATTTGGATATTATGTTTAAAATAATTTTATTCTATATGTGGTTAAAATTTCAAAGACCCTAACGTGCCGAAATGAAGATATTCATCTTCAAAGTTTCAGCTTTTAACACGTAAACTTCTATACCAAGCCTTGCCAAAGTAATGTTTTAATATTAAATTTCGCCTTTGCGGCGAAAAGACTTCCGATTCCGTAGCGAGCATGCTAAGAGGTGTAACTGCCTGCGCATTGTATAAAAGCGGAAAGAAGAGTGAGAGAACAGTGAATGGAGAGAATAAGTGTGCGAAAGGGAGAGAGAGATAAAGGTGAGAGAGATGTGGCAGTGGAGGAAATCAAAGGGATAAGGGAATAGGGCGGGAGATATAGGCACAGAAAAAGAAAGAGGTTAAACAGAAAGAGGGAGAAAGAGAGGAGATGATGGCTTGGCGTGGCGCTGCAAGTCGGCAAGGGAATACGGAGGAACGGTTAGAGAAAAGGAGTGAACTGAAGTAGAGTGATAGAAAAGAAAAACGAGAAATAGGAAAATATAGCAAAGGGTAGAGAAACTGTCGGAGAAAAGAATGAGAAGTGGAAGCATAGAGTTAGGAGAGATAGAAGAGATATAAAAGAAAAAGAAACGTGTTAAAAAAGAAGACTCATGGAAAAAAGCAAATTTTTAAAAAGAGTAATAGGATGACAAGATCGAGGGTGATAGGAGAGAGGAGAAACGTAGCACGGGAAGGGAAAAGAGAGTATAGGAAGATGGTTAAGAGAGCTGAGAGAGGAAATGATAGATTAAAGGAGTAAAAGAAGAAATAAGGAAAGTAGCAAGAGAGTAGAATAAAGCACTAAAAAGAAATAGAAAAAGCGAGGAAAGAACTGAGGGAGAGAGAGAAAAGATAAAAGAAAGAAAGAAAGAAAATTAACAAAAGGAGATGGAAAAGGAGTTGAAGAGAATGAAAAAGCAGGAGAAAGGGGGTAGGAAAAAAAAGATATAAAAGAGGGCAGCAGAGAAGACAAAGAAAGAATGGAGAGGGGTTGGAAACTGAGGGGAAGGGGAGAAAGAAGAAGGAATATAGTGGTAAAAGGGATAAAAGAGGAGAACGGGGAACATAAACAAGGGAGTAGAGGAGGTACTAAAGAAAAGGAATGGAAGTTAGAATAGAAAGTGTGAGGAAGATAATGATAGGGAGGAGAAATTGGGGAGAGATGGCGGTGGTAAAGTTAGGAAACGAAGAGGAAAAGAGGAAGGTAATGAAAAATAAAAGAAAATTGAAGAGAGGTTACAATCTAGCTGGAAGAAGATCTAACATGGTGGGAAAGGAGAACTAGATGGAAGCTGAGGCATATTGCGAAAAAGCAGGAAATGAAAGAGAAAGTAGTGTGGGATATAAGATAAGAATTGAAGGAATATAATGGTTTTAAGACAAAGAAAGAGGAACTGAGAGAGATGAAAGAGAGAGATAGTGGAAAGGGAAAAAAGTAAAGAGAGGCAGATACAAATTAATAAGGAGAGGAGAAATGAAAAGAGAAAATTAAATTAAAGGGAAGTGTAAGGAAAGAAGGGAAGGGAAAGGTATAGAAGATAATAAGAGAAGATAATAGAAGATAATAAGGCGAAGGGAGTAGAAGGGTCAGAGAGAGAGGGGAGAAACGAGGACGGAGAGATAAAGATTGGGTTTTGGAACATAGCAGGGGTGACAGGGAAGAACATGGAGTTTTGGAAGGGACTGGAGAAATGGGATGTGTTATATTATATAATATTATATAATTAATAGAGACATGGGTGGAAGAAAAGGGGTTGGAAGGAATCAGAAATCGTGCGGGCGGGCGGACGGACGGACGGACGGACGGACAGACGAACGGGTGGGCGTGCGTGCGTGCACGTATATTATTAAATTACAACTTCACATTTAATTACAATTTTCATGCAAAAACATTTTTTTTTCATACATAATTATTCAATTACAATTTTCATTTAATATTTAATCAATTATTATTTTTAATTTACTTATTACTGTTTAATGTTATTAATGTGAATATTATTTTTATATAATAAGTTCTTTAACATTATATTATTATATAATTCTGATTTAAAAATATACTCGCTATAAACAATTTTTATGACACAACCGAATTGTCTTTTTTTTTTAGAAAAATCATTCTGTAACTTCATAAAAACTCAAATTTATAAGTGCCTTTTCAACCCACAACATGGCGATGAGTCATGTGACCTGGGACACACTACATCAAAGGTGCCGACGGTCCGTGTCCATACTGTATGTACTTATACTGTAACCAAGGGAATATGAATGAAAGGTGCAGAGCAACAAGAAGGAATAGGAAGGGGAGAGTGATAGGGGGTATAATAATATTGGGAGTATAATAAAAATGAGAGAACTAGTAGAAAGAGGTGAGGAAGAAAAAAAAGAGGTAGAAGAAATAATGATAGGGAAGATAAGATGTGAAAAAAATAGCTGGAGGATAGTAAGAGTCTACGTAAATGGAGATCTGAAAGAGAAACTGGAGAGTTTAAGAGAATGGATGGAAGAGAAAAGAGGAGTGAGAACAATAGTGGGAGGGAATTTTAATACGAGAACGGGGACGGAGGGAGGATTGTTTGAAGGGGAGGAATGTGAGGAGGAAAAGTAAGAAAGGAATTCAAAGGCTAAAAAGATAAACGGAGAAAGGAGGAAATTGTTAGAGTTCATCATTGAGAGAGAATGGACTATTTTGAATGGGGGGATAAAGAAGGGGAATATACAGGAGAAAGAGGAGAGTCGGTCATTGATTATATATACTGAGTTTGATATTCCATCAAATGCACTCTACTGAACTGAATGAATATTTTTGAAGATTACGTTAGGCCTTTCGTCATACTAAATATTATTTTTAATAGCGATATATCAATACTACATAACTGCAAAAGAGCGGAAAAATCAATTGATTTTAAAATTAATTTCTTAACTGCTAAAAAACATTTGAATTATTCATTTGTACATCTAATACTTCCCCTCCTCGATGCCGCCCCACGTAGCTTTCAAAGTTCAATGCGCACGCAACATTATACAAACATAAAGATGGCCATCCCCAGGGAGAATCAAGGGAGAGTGGAGCGGAGTGTTTCTCTTCTCTGATTAGTTTCGCCATTTATAGCTCACATCATGTGTGTATATGTACATATATATAATACTAATGCGATACAATAGTTTCATCACACTCCTACCATATCTCCTACTCACTTCAACGGCACGCTAAACGTGGCTTCCGGATGAGTCCGCTCCATTCTCCCTTAATTCTCTTTGGCCATCCTGTATTCTTTCCTTTTCTATTGTCTAACATTTCCACTTACAGGGGTTTCTACTCTATATACACCTCTTTGGTTCGTGCACACAGATACGATACATTTATGCGTGTGTGTACGCTCGCCTCAAAAGTTTCTCTCTTCAGAGAATACGCGCGGAGAGGCATATTCGTAAATTGTACGCGATTAACTTTTTAGTGTGATTATAGCCGGAGAAATACCTTAAAAACAAAAAAGCTCGTCAGATGTTCGATGCCCGCTGTAAAAAAATTCGATATTTTTATGTTAAAAGTATAATTCGAACATTAATTTAAGCTCATTTTTTCTGTCTCGCACATCAAGTGCATCAGCTACGAATTTTCAAAAATAATAAAAAATACGTTCTTCAGAAGCTTTAATTTTATTTTTCTCAAAAATCTGACGTGATAAAACATTTTCACTAATGGATTCAGATTTAGCACATCAAAAACAACAGACAATTATTATTCTTTTTCAAAAGGCAAAAATCATGTAAACTTATGTTGATTCTACAGTGAGTTTGCAGTCGGAAATTATTAATCTTAATCGGTGAAGCTGTCAATGTTAGTCATACAAGTTAGCTATTGGTCAATTTCATTGATAAGACTACTGTCTATCGACATTGTAGAATCAGCATATCGATAATGTAACTCACCTCCATTCTCATGAATCTCATAAAGGGCATATTCTGGGACGGACAGCATTCTCATGTCGGGACGAAATTTTTCTATAAGCGTTTCTATCACTGCCTGGCTAGTCGCGTCCGAGGCAACCCTGATGCACTTAGTAGCGACCTTTTGACCGCTGTCTTGGAAATAAAATCTCATCACGCCGTGAAACTCCAAGTCCTATTGAGAAAAAAGTAATACAACTCGACTGAAGGCGGAAACGATTTTGCAAAATTTAGATGCGACACTCACTTCGTTGGGTTCCGAAAGTTCGAACAGGTCCAAGCGATTGGCGTTCCACTGCTGTATAACTACCCTGAGAGCGTCCCGCTCCGCCTTTTTATTCGCTAGTTCCGTTGCCATCCTGAAAAACACGACGGACGACGTATATATAATTGTAATCAATCGACACAATTGCGAAAATTGTATAACAAATTATTAAACAGGTCACAATTCCTTGACCGCATAATCGCAAGCTTCTCCTTTTAATTAAAGAATGTATTTACTTTCTGCTAAATTTCTTTATGTTAAAATTTCTTTATGCTAAAATTGCGGCTAAAATATCGCATAAGTAGCGTTTTAATTGCAATATTCGTTATCAAAAGTCATCTAAAGGCTCGTATAGAGCGATTTTTTTTTAAAAGAAAATGACAAAATGAAAATTCCAACTGATGTATATTATAGTGCAGTCAATTATAATTTTTATGCACGTAATTATAATTTTTCAAAAATCAATTTACAAAATCCGGCTCTGCATGTACTTTCACAGCATCAGAAAATATAGAAGCAGATAGGTCTCATAACACAATATTCTAGGAAATAAAATATCACTAATATTAGTATAAAAACATGTATCTGCGAATAGGAACATTCCATTTTATTATAAAATTTTTAAAAGCGAAATTGCAAAAATCGGCTTTTTAACAGACTTCCAGTTTCATAACCGTAAAATATAAGCTAAAACAAATTTCATAGCAAAATATTTCTATATGATACTCAGCGTTGGCAAACGTTACTGTTCCAAACCATACTCGTATAACTTTTGTCTGAAACATTTTTCTCTAAAATTCACTGTTCAGGAGATATTTTAGTGCATCAATTAAAATGATACAATCTGTATATGAACCTTAACATCAAAATTTTTAATTGTATATGTAATTGTCCTTTAATAATAAATAATCTAAACATTGTGTTTAGTTTAATTAAAGTGTCAATTTGACACTTTAATTTTCTTCAAAATATGTTTATTTAAAAATCTTTACCACATTGATTTTATAAATCATTTAAATTCTAACACAACTAAATCACTAATTAATATGACACTTCATATTGTTTGCACTTTGCGCCTGCTAGGATAAGTACAAAAACCCCGTCGTTCTAATATCCGCACATCTGCTTATCGACCATTCCATGGCGCTTTCGTGACGCTATTCAGGCCTACTTGGGGGGCATGCGTGCGGCCGTATGGCCTGAGGCTCGTTCGTTCGTCATTGTTCGTTGCGACGCCATCGTTATTGGTGTAACGTTCACGTGCGGACCGGTGCGCAAACCGGTTATTTTATATTGTTATATACTCGAATCAACGCGTGTAAAAGTATATTGTAAAAAAACATTAAAGCACACTCTTACAAAAAGTCTTTTTTCATTCGCGCTGCCAAAACCAATTCGAGCGTGGTCACAAGGCAAGAGATACAAGCCTCAATGAACGAGAAAACTACGTTCCACATAACGCAAAAAAGAAAACAAGTCCTTTTCCTAACATTGGTCTTTTGAGCCGGATATGACGGACTGCTACGGATTTTCACAGATTTTCAGTGATTTCACAGATTCCACGGATCCTACGAATTTTATGGATTTTAGAATCGTACATAGATATGCATGAATAAATAACATCCGTTGCAAAGTTGATGCAATACAAGCGTCTCAATCGTAGTAAGTACTCGCAAGCTTTATCTCGGCTACAATTGTAAGGTAAGAGCATTCTTTCACAATATTGTGATTAAGAAAATCATATTCAAAGAAGCATCAAACATTGATGTTTTTGCTTTCGTTCGCAAGTCACGTCATATTTCGTTCATCGGTTTCGCTCACAAGAGCTGCCATATTGCACGTTTAGTAAATTTATCACTTCCGCTCACAAGGAACTGCCATTTTACATTTTTCGAAGATTCTAGATTCTTGCATACAAAGGCGGCCATTTGCATTTTTACAAAGCTTTCAATTTCATCAGCTAGGCCGCCACGTTGCTACATTGTAACGACTTTGCGTTGCTACGCAGTCAATATTACGCATTATATGTAGCATTCGCAATGGATATACTCACATTATCAGACGCGAAGAACAAGAGAGCTCATCTAAGAGCCGCGGCCACACGGCTAAAAATCTTCATTGACAACTTCGATATGAACAGCGGTTCGCGGCACGATCTTACTGAGCGCAAGCAAAGATTATCGGAATTGTGGCCCCATTTTGATGCGGTTCAATCTCGCATAGAAATTCTTGAAAACGCAGATCCCTCGATCACCGACAAAAAAGCTTTTCATGAGCAGCAAACGCAACAGCGCGAAAATTTTGAAAGTCCCTATTTTCACTTAATGGCTCATTATACAGCTCTCAGAACTCTTGAGCAAATGGATAACAGCGCATATCAGTCAAATTCATCTCAAAATAACAGGCACGCGATTAGTTCAAAGGAAACGCGTATCAAATTGTCAAAGATAGATTTACCAGTTTTTACTGGTGCAATAATTGGTATTCCTACAGGTATTTCCTACAGATATTTGTGAAAAGCTAATCCATTTAAACGAAAGCTTAACTGAAATTGAAAAGTTTCACTACTTGCAGTCCGCCTTAAAGGATACTGCTGCTGATATAAAATCCATAGAGATCACGGAAACTAATTATCACGAAGCATGGGCGGCGGTCAAAGAACGTTTCAACAATTAGAGATGGCTTGTTCAAAAGTATGTTCGTGCCTTATTTGAAGTACCAGCAATACGTAAGGAAAATCACAACATGATTCGCAAATTATTGAACATCATTCTTAAACATTTGCGCGCGCTTAAGGCCCTCAAAAAGCCCACTAATTATTGAAATTATATTAATCGTTCATCTTATCGTTTTTAAATTGGATGTAGTCACCAGCAAGGCGTGGGAGTTAAGCATTAAAGGAAAAGACCTGTCGGATTTAAAAACATTAATAGAATTCTTGACTCTCCGATGTCAGGCCTTGAAATCAGTACATGGCAGATCTCACAGTAGCTCATCAAGTAACGCCATGCCAAAGTATAGTAACCATTCAAAATCCCTGGCAGCAAACGTCGCTACATCCAATCTTTCTTGTGCTGTATGCAAAGAAAATCATTCAATATATCACTGTAAAGAGTTCCTCAATTTATCAGTCGAAGATAAAGTTAAGGCCGCTAAAAAGGCGCTTATGTCTTAATTGTTTAAGATCAAACACATATTAAGTGAAAACATACAACTCAAGTACTTGCCGGAAATACAGCAAGAAATATAACACATTGTTACACATAAATGTTTCAAATAATTCCGTTCAATCCGGATCAAACACGCAATCAGCCAGTCAAATTACAAATCCTCCACTCCCCGTTGCTACACAATGTACATCATCAAGTCATCACTCTTTAAACATTTTACTATCAACCGCGGTCATCAATGTACTATATGATTCTAATAACCAAATTCACTCATGTCGAGCATTACTTGATAATGGATCCCAAATGAATTTCGTAATAAAAGAATTAGCCAATCGATTGAAACTTGAAGAGCGACCTCTTGATATTGCAGTGGCGGGAATCATGGATGGAGTGATTCACGCTAATAAAGAAGTTAGTCTTTGCGTCAAATCGCGTTTTAATAATTTCTGCGAAAAAATGGACTGCATCGTGAAAAATAACACAGCATTTATCGCAACATTTCATACCTATGCAAAGTATATCTATTCCAAAACGTATAAAACTCGCTGATCCCGATTGTAACGTACCAGCTAGCATTGACATTTTAATAGGAATTCTTCTGAAGGTTCATTTGTGCGGGTCAGATTAAACAATTAAAAGCTCAACCGATTGTAAAAGACACATTTCGGATGGATAATTTCCGGTGTCACACCAAGTGACAAACCAGACCTGCCTCTTTCACTTAATTTTCATTTGACCACACTCGATAAATTAAGTATTAACTTACGTTAAATCGATTTTGGGAGGTTGAGCATAACACTACTGCGAATCCACTTTCCCCCGAAGAGAAGATCTGTGAAGAATTATTCGTACAAGGAGTAAGTCGCAACTTAGAAGAACATTTCATCATCAAACTGCCAATAAAGCAAGATAACTAAACAACTTAGGAGAATCTAAATACATCGCTCTAAGACGTTCAAATCTTTAGAGAAGCGACTCACTCAACCCTGTATGTATAACGAATACAAGAAGTCCATGGATAAATGCATACAGTTGAACCACATAAAAGAGTGAACAGTCACACGATGCCAAGCCCAAGCCTTCCAGTTTTATCTCCTACACCATGCTGCACGAAATGAAGCGAGCTCCACTACAAAGTTCCGGATGGATTTTGACGGCTCATGCAAAACCACGACCGGGCTATCTCTGAACAATTCGCTAATGTGGTAGGAACTACGCTACAAGAAGATCTTTTTTCCATTTTGGTCAGATTCTGAACATTCACAATAGCTCTCAATAACCTCTCAATAATCGGCTCAAAACGCCGATAACAGTGTATTGGCAAGTTTTGGTCGATTCAACTCAAACATCGTTGCAACGCGTTTTCTGGCGAGAGTCCCAAGACGAGCCCATCAAAACTTTCGAATTACTCACGGCACTTCATCAGCATCATTTCTGGCAATCAGAGCCCTAAGAAAATTAGCGGAGGATAACGCAGATTGCTATCCAAGAGCATCGCAAATAGCATTGCGAGATTTCTATGTGGATGATCTCGTCACTGAGGCCGATTCAATAGAAGAAGCTTTGTCCATCAAGAGAGAAATCACGGCATTGCTGCAAGAAGAAAAATTCGAGCTTAGGAAATGGTCATCCAATGCTCTCAGCCTCTAGGATCAAAACTCCTTCGTGGAGTAAGAGAATTTATCCTATCCTTCGACAAGAACTCCGAGAAAGAACGCCAGGCATTGCTTGGGATTGCCGATATTTAAATATTCATCCAGCAACCATTTGCCTCCTCTTAAAGCGCCTATCAAACAAAGTATTTTATCACGTATCTCTCTCATTTTCGATCCATTAAGACTGTTGGGTCCAGTTACATTACTAGCTAAGACCTCTGCAATCATGCAAGATCTCTGGCGATTCAAGCTCGATTGGGATGAATCTA